TCTTTTTGTAATTTCCCTACCTTGCGTCAAGGGAAAAGCTGGTCAAGAGTAAACCATTAATTCATCTCCCTGTAGGCCCCCAATCTTCTCAGGAGCTCTGGGTTAATGATTCTGAGGTTGTTTCCTCACAGGGCCAATTTGTACCTGATCTTTGGCGTGTTCCCTCCTTTCTTAAGAGTAACTTGACTCCGATAATTTCTCATCCTGGGGTCAGGAACTTTGTTTTGCAGGAGGAAATGGTGGATGCTGTAGGTCTGGGGCCTCTTCCTTTCTCGACAGTGCCCCACCCCATGCCCGCAATTTCCTCTCCCAGCAGCAGAGTCTGCTCCCTGCCCTCAGGACTTCCTCAGAAGTAGCTCTAGGAATTAACTGTGCTCCAAGCCACAAGGATGCCGGGCCCTAACTCATAACCTCCCTCACATGAGGTGTAAGGATTTGTTTTTGGAAGCCCAGAAAAAGAATATTCTCGAAGATGTTGTATGGAGAAATTATTCTGGACCTGGCTTTTAAGAGTTTAATTAGCAGCTGGAGGAGGGTGGGCTGCAGAGAGATGCAGCGTCGTCAGGAGTGGTCCCTGGTGGAGAGCGAGGCCTGGAATTGCAGGCGGCAGGTCTGTTTATAGCTGTAGAGCCATGGCAGAGGCTGGGGATAGAAGCCTGGGAGCCAGACACAGCTCTTTAGATAAGACCAGCTAAGGGCTGAGTGTGCACAGAAGCTGGAAAACCAGCTCGCAGTGGTAACTACCAGGGGTCTCCCCAGACCCCACCTCTACCTCCTCCCAATCCCGTAAATTTGGTGCTCATCTCTGTAGCGCTTTGACCTTGGCGATAAGAACCCGGCAAGTCCCAGGTTCCTGTGGTGGCCCCGTCTCCTTGGACGTGCTCATTTTCCCTGCTTCCCATGCCTCAGACAGGGCTTTGCATAAAGAAGTGGGCTGGTGGGTCACTGATCTGCAAAGGTCCCACTGGGTGACTGGGGCAAGTGACATTCTTGAGCCTCAGTGTCCCCATCTGTAAAATGGGGATACTCCTCTTTTTTGAATAGCGAACCAAGGCTTCTTGTAATAATGTCATTCACAATGTGAGTCTTAACAACAGGCCTTTCAGACTTATATCACTTTTGTGTATCCATAAAAGTGAAAGCATGAGGGGAGGAAAGATTAAGGTATGTCTGGGACAATCACTTCCTCACAATGGCCATGGCGACTGCAGGACCATCCTGACATCAGAGATGTAAAGTGTGGAAAACAACAAATAGTAAACACCCTTGTACCTGCCTCCTTGCTCGACAAAACAATTCCCAGCACCGCTGGAAGCTGGGGTCCGCCTCCCTGATCCCATCTCTTGTCTTTCCTCCCTGGAGGAAATTTTCCTATGCTCCTAGTGAAGCTGTCATTCAGTTTTCACTATTGAATATTCCCCTCCATTCGTATTCCACTGTATTACTTCTTCTATTGATGGAAATTTGGAAATATTTTGCCGCAAACATCCTCAGAGCTATGTCCCAGGACACAAGGGCCTGCTCATCCAAGGCACACACCTACG